TCGCCTATTAAAACTGCGCGCTTTGAGCTTGAAGACTTTACCATGTTCCCACCGTGTGCTTCTGCTGGAACAACCGTGGAGAGTCTGTTGAACAAGCCTTGATTGAAAATGGGCTGAATAAGAATTAGGTCCCCTCGGAGGCGATGATACTTCAGAAGAGAGAGGCGAGCACCGCGAAGCATTCCGTAGTCCGTGGATATAAGGCTAGCAGCCACTTTTGTGGCAGCTCGCTGGATATGGTCGATGAGGGTAACGTCCTTCGTGCACCTTAAGTAGACAGCTTGGATGCCATATTCAAGGAGCTATCTCGCGTATACTCTGTTGGGTGATTGGAAGTTCACGGGAGTGACGCTGGAGAAGGCGCACCGAATCATCCGTAAAACAATGAATGCCTTTAGGCTGATTTCTCATGGTGCAGTGGTAAGGACAAGTTTGAAGAGAGCCAGATATCCAAATTCATCTTGATAACTAACCTCGGTATCTTCTGTTCCCTTCTCACCGTGAGAGACAAAGGCGTCCGCTGAGTCTTCTCCAAATGACATAAGGACATTTTTTAGTCATTCGGAAGAAGATGTCAGTCCGACGACCTATGCTTTGCAGCGTCCACATCCTTTTATTGGGCACCTGCATTGGAACGCCAGGATTTCAAGTCGTCCGCAAAAACACCTGGAAGTTCGTTGACCTAGCTCATAAACAACAGTGGTCCCAGAACGGAGCCTTGGTGAACCTCAATACCGGTGCTGGAGAATAGCAGGTAGAACCTCCCTTCGTTTGGAATGATCTGTCTGATAGAAACGCCTTGATTCAGTGTACGATTTTTCCTTGAATCCCGTGAGACTCGTGTTTGTGGAGCAGCGAGAATGTGTGACCCCATTCAAATGCTTTTGAGAAGTCGAAAAATGTGGCATCTGATATAAGTCCAACGTCCGTGGCTTGTATCAAGCTGTCCATAAACACGAGCATGTTTGACACACAAAAGCGGTTTTGGAGAAATCCGCGTTGACCTGGAGATATAAGGTTGCTGGAAGTAAGGTGATCCTGAATAACTTGCTTCAGAATGCGCTCTATCAGCTTGCACGACACGCTGGTTGGGTTAATGGGCCTTCAGCTCTGAGGCGATATTTGGTCACCATTTTCATAGACTGGTATGACAATCGCTTTTTTCTAAGCAGAGGGAAGGCGACCTTCGTCAAGCGGCCAACGAAACCCCATGCATGAGTGATTTAGCACTGTGTGCGACGTCTCTTTTAGGATCCTTGGATGGACATCGTCGGGCTCCAAGGAACAGAACGGGTTAATTCTATGCAAGCGTGGACGAATGTCTCCCAGCGCGAAGACCAATTCGGTTAGAGGCTGTTGGAAGTTACACTTTGACAAGACTTGGTATGATGAGGACCTTGAGGCCAATCAAAAGCCTGCAAGATGATCTTCGTGGACCCCACATACCACTATTTGGTCACTTGTGGGTTCCCTGTTCCTGTTCCTCGAGGAGAACGCAAATAGCTTCTGTCTGATATATTTGAACAGCAACTTGCTGTTTTTTCGGGCAAGGTCCAGAATGGTGATTTGTTTTCGTATGTTCAATTGGCGGGTTTCTAATTTACAATGGTTTCGCATTTTACAAAACGCCACCTTGTCTGCTGCTTCTCCTGTAGTCAACCTTTACAAAAAAAATTAGACCCGTTTTCCAGAAGACGCCGAATCCTTTAAGGTAGCCTGTGGCTCATGCGACTGTGTGCTGGTTTTTGTTGGAAGGACATCGCGCCAGCCGCGTGAAATTTCTACGCAATAATCCTACCTAGGTCTTCCACCGAAGCTGATCCTAAGTTAACTTTTTCAAGTGAGACGCGCATACCTGGAAAATCCGTACTGCAGACGTTTCGAATCCACACCTGAGGTTTGGGATTTCTCGTGTCATAGCAGATCAGATCAAAGGTCAGCACACAGTAGTCGCCATGTCTCAGTAGAGCGCTAATTATCACCTGATCGACGAAGTGCCTTTCGTTAGTGACCAAATTCAGGAGGGGTGCAGCTGTCCTGCGCGGTTTCAATGGATGCAACGAACTATTGAGTCCAAGCGCGCTGTCAGCGCCGCTAAAATACCACGAATACCGACGCGCTGGTGCCAGCTTCAGGAGGCCTATGGGACACTGAAATCACCTATCATCAAGAGATGGGTGAATCAGTGGCGTGAGGAGTTTTACTCAAGGGTTTGTATAAGGAATCGGTCGTCTTCCGAAGTACTCGAGGGTCAAGCGTAGACCACACCAGGGAGGAGAGACTCGCACCCGCGCAGGGTGTTTGAATCCACATTGCGTCGAAAAACGTGCGGGAATAATGTCAGAGAAGAAAATCGGGATAATCAGGGGCACATGTTAGTATAAAGAAAACACACCAGCCCCCATCGTTTTGAGTCAGCTCCAAAAACAAAGTAGCCGTCTTTCGAGGCCTCCGCGCCAGAGACGTCTAATGTGGGCCAGGTCTCTGTGAACTCGATTATGGACGGCCGTTCAAGGGAAACTGACTGCACCCTAAAGCCGGCCAACAGCTCCCTGATTTAGCGAATCTTATGTGGCGTGTTTGGTTGCAGTCGCCTTTCTTCCATGTTTGTAGGGATCATGGAGCCACCAGCGATCAGCCTGGCCAACTTGATGTACGGAAGGTTTTCCGGTCCTTTGTGGTCCCGGCTTTCTTGGTCGCGAGCGACGACCGAGCGCGCAATTGAGGAGACCACTTTGGACTGAATGGAGCGGGCAATTATTAGTTTCACATTCTCAGTGGTTTAAAGGTTACCGCAGCACTCCCAGACGTCGAGATCAATGCATGTGCTTGATTTATCGGTAGGCTTTGGCGCTCTTCTACGCACGTCTGACCCATTCCAGCTCAGAATTTGTGACTTGGATGTGGAGTTCACTGCTGTACACCTGTTACAGAAAGGGGCTCTGATTCCTCTACTTTTGGCGCTGTGTCCACGTATGGCTTGCCTCCTCCCAAGCATCGCTGCCTTGGGAAGTCAATGGGCCTTCGGTGGCTGAGTACAAACTACGTCCCGGAGTCACGGACGGCCGCGTCCACGTGTTTTCAGGAGCACAAGAGGCCATAACCGCAACAGGTTTGGCTGTAAGTTTGGAATCGGCTGAACGTACACCAAGCGGAAGCCTGTTTCACACGCCTCCCCTAGAATTGCTGTGGCCCAGCTTTCACGCCTCCAGACGGTGATCCTCGGATACACGCCTGATCGTTGGGTGGGTTGTTTAATGCTGATAGCCCACTCCAAGACCTTCTGTAAGGCAGATGAGTAGAAAAGTTTGACTGAGAGATCAAGTGTTCGACTGCTTCCCTTCTGTCGTAAGTAATCTGCATCCGTGAGGACATCACTAAGAAGCATCCGTGCCTTCTTCACTGGTGTTTTTTTCGGAAAACGACTCCTGGATGATCAGCCTGATCTTTCTCACGAGCCTGGCCCTTGAAGACTCCGTGGTGGTCTTTACTGCAGCCAGTGGATACAGGATGGACAGCGTAGAATAATCTTGTGGCAAAGAAAATTTTTTATCAGCTCTCATTCAGATCGCTGTTATCTTTGAGCTTGCATCCTTCAGAGCTTTGGAAAGAGGCCCCAGTTTGGCGTCGATTATCCCGACCACAGCAGAACATTCACATTAGCCTTTTCGATTTGGCAGTGAAGATTTGGTTCCGTTTGTGATGGCTCCCTTCTTAGCTGTGGAATACACTGCACCCTTAATGTAAAAACAGCTGACGTAGACAAATGGGTAAGCAGACTTATCTGGTTGGCCTCATTGACCGTCCTGTAAACCTGTGCATTTAAGATGCTATCAGGCCTTGCAGGTGTGGCATTGCATACCACGTCTTACATGCAACAGACACCCATTTCGCCCACATCTATCGTGGTTCCTCTTTGGTTACAAAGAGCATCACGTGTCAAACTGCCGCGCAATCTCAGATTTGCTGACACATTCAGAGCACGTTCATGGTTATTCAACAACCAAACATCACTGTTCAATATCCGTTATGAATGCCGTGGGATATTCAAGAGAGATTAGGATGGTTTAAACGCATTTGCCGGTGTTGTCAAGCACGAAGGCGTCTCGTCATCAGCATCGAAGACAGCAACATCAGTGCCAAAACTGGTGCTTCACTGCCATGCAAACATAAGGTTTGCCTAATGATATTTAAATTCCTAGAGTGAGAAGAGGAGGGAAAGTAAGTGAGGGAAGGGACATAGTATTGATCCATGTCAAGCATTCTGAGGTACCAGCACCTCGAAGCTCTCAATCAGACAATCTGCGAAGAAGCTGACACCACCACTGATATCGGTTAGCCGCTATTCCTTGCGACGTCTCCAAGCAAGCACAGGTGGGGTCACGGGGACCCCATCCTGGAAGGCGCGTAACACCCAAATTCTTCATAATCTCTTTCATACCCTTTTGCCAAGTCATGCGTTGTCCAGTTCACGACTTGCGCCATCCTGAAGGAGGTACGGAGAACAACACCGTCTGGGTAGACGGTGTTTCAGCATGCGTGGCCAGTCATCGTAGTCGATGATTCTGGATGTTTTCTCGGATTGAAGTACCTGCCGCACATCCAGTTACTCGTTTCCTAGTCAGCTCGTTACTGGCACGCTGATGTTTCTGAGGCATCGGTGGTCAGAGGCTTCACATCGTCTGTCCGCAGAGGCCACATCTCACACTCATACAACAACATAGCATTTATTGCAGCCTGGTGTACGTGACTCTTAATATCTGATGATATGCATTTTTGACTCCACAAGTGAGGAAACTTTGTGAACGTGATTCGAGCCTTCGGGCTTCTCGCACTGGATTCATTTGACATGTTTCCGTCGGAGCTAATACAACTACCGAGGTGTGTAAAAATTTCCACAACTCCAGCGATTCTCCTTGAATTGTGATGGATCTCTTCGCAGATTGCACGTTCTGAAGTATGATTTTGCCATTTTGTAGTAACGGTTTTTTCTCAACTTAGTTCTCAGCCTGAGCCTCCCAAGCTAGTGTCCACGGCAAAACAGCCACCAAAGGTACACAAAGAATAGTAACACCGAAAACGAAGTCAACAACACTTGTATAGCTCTTCGTATGTGTAGCGTAAGCCGAAACAAATTTCTGGGAATTCCGACGCGTTCTGGATGCGCCATTGGCAACCAGCATTCGGCCAATACTGGGTCGTGATTGGCTGTTGGGTCCAGACTTTTGACCAATCAGATCTCTCTATGATGCTTGACT